CAAAATATTATAAATTTTAATTTCTTGGAAAGGTTTAAAATATTACAGAAACTCTTACTAATGCCCTAATGTTATAACATTTGATTTAAAGTATTATTAATATTTTAACTCTAAATATTTTAAAATATAATAATATTGCACATAAATATGATTGGACGGATTTGAGTTTACATAAATATAATTATATTTTTCTTACGGGTTGTCTATAATAAAATATTTTTACGGGTTAAGTTAAAATATAATTTGTTTTACGACAAAATTATTCCGCGGTGTACCGCAGGTTAACCACATATATCTATGAATCTACTTATAATACAGATTCATAAAATTATGTAAAATCAAATGAAATAAACACGTATAAAACTATACTATATAAACCAACTACGAAAATGACCAACCAAACAAATATACTAAATTATGGACCCGTGGTGTACCACGGGGTAAATCCTAGTGTTTTAGTATAAATGAGTGCATATGTACATGAAAACATTCCAATAAAAATGAGTGTAAATGAGTGTCTCTGTACATGTGAACATATGGACAATAATCGTCTATCCAACGTTGAAGATGAGAGTATTAAGAATTATTGGAAGCATTTTTTGGACAGAATATGTCATTGGTATCCACAACCCCTCATCCACATGATCACAAAGAGCATCGTCACTACTGATTTAAATCTGTAAAAACGAAAAACAAAAAATAAAAAAAAAACTCAGGAGCACTTACCTAGATCTGTCATCCAAAGTGATTGAGAAATTAGTATATACAAGTTTAACATAAACGAGAAAACTCAGAAACACTTACTCTATTCAAGTTTAACATAAAAGAGAAGACACTTACCGTGATTTTGTATTCTCTATATGTTGGAGAAGACGAAACAGCTATAAACCACTAAGTTTTATGGGTTTATTATATTCTTGGTTAATTAAATTATATAATTAATAGTAACTAAAACATAAACGAAGTTACGCATCAAACGGACGACGACGTCGACAATTAGAAATGGACGAGACACAGTTTTACTTTATTAGGACAGTTTGTGTCTTTTTTTGGCACAAACAGTGCAAAAAGTACACAACAATTGGAAAGTGTGTCTTTCGTAACTTCTCCCCCTTAAAGTGTGTTAGGTGGTAAATCACCCATGAATGAATTGAGAGTGATGTTGGGAAGAAGTGTTTAGTTAAGATAGTTAGCATGGCAATTTAGATAATATTGTAACTTTGTTAGGGTGTAAAAGAACAATATTTTATATATATCACTCCAACTTTTGAAAGTTACTGATCTTGTTATATGTCTGAGATAAGTGACTTTCTGTGCAAATAACTCTAAATACTTTTACCATGAATTGTTGCATGTGTTTATCGTTAAAGACTCTAAAGGTAAGGATAGTAACTTACCCTTTCACTCATATGGGAGCTATCTGTATCAAACATATCTCCTTTCTGATTGTTACACTCTTATATTTTTCAATTCTAATATTTATAGACACAAGATTTTAAACCCCAAGAACAAAAATGACAAGAAAGAAAATTAACCTCATAGTCTTTGGTACATCTTCGCATTACTTCACATCATCGTCCTTTGGTTTGTAATGGCTTTAAGTGCTTAATAACTTGAAAGAAGAAGAAGAATACGATGAGGAACCATATTGCTCTACTAAGTTGGATGGGAAACTCTACCCGAGGTTGTTTGAAAAATAAAATATCTGCCACATTCTGTTCTGGTATTTTTGAAATTTCCCCTAGATTTTTTATTTGATTTTGCTAAGAATAAAGAAATATTTTAATAGATCATATTTCTTTTTGCTGAGGTATGATCCTTTAGGGTATGAATATTAGTATTTGGAGTGAGATTTAAGATGTTCGGTTTGCATGTATTGATATTAGGTCTTTGTGATCATGTTAGATGATATGGTTTCTAATTGTAATTTACAACCCAAATTTTGAATTTCTTCTTCTGTTTCATCTCTCCCCATTCATCCTCTTCCATACGTCTATGCTACTTTTTTTTGTTAGGAAAAAACAATGATGTATACGAACTTTAATTTTTTTTGGGCAAAAGATGTATATATGAATAATATAATGCTATAGAGAATTCATCATTCTTACTTTATAGAAAACAAAAAAGAACAAAACCATCAGATTAAGATACAACAAACATACGAAAATACTTCAATAAAATACATTGATACACACAACAACTTGACTGACATTAAAGGATCAAACTCATAACCAATAAAAGAAAATCTTAACGGTGTCCACACTTCATCACACAAATTAGCCATTCCGGTTTGTACAAAGCAATGATTTGTGCTATTGCCAATCCAAGCAACACTCCAAACCCATACCCTATAGCCACGCCTTCCCATTTTAACACTTGTTCCTCTTCTTCGTCTTCTTCTACTTCTTCTTTAGGCTGATGTGTTGGTGGCGCATTAGTCCCAAAGCAACTTCCTTCAAGAGGGAAACCACAAAGTCCTGCATTTCCTTCAAATGACGATTTCGGTTGCCCAGTTATTTGCGTTCCTTGTGGTATTTCACCATTGAGTTGGTTGTGGGACACGTTCATGTACGTCAAAAACGAGAGAGCCCCTAGTCCATTAGGAATAGTCCCTGAGAGCTGGTTAGTGGATAGGTCTAGTGACTCGAGCTTCGTAAGGTTGGCCAAAGACCGAGGAATATGGCCTATGAAGGCATTGTTCGACAAGTTGAGTGCGATTAGTGCCTTTAAGAGACCGACAGATTCAGGAATTTCTCCTTCAAGTCTATTTCCAGATAAATCAATTGTGGCATAGGAAGCAAAGACCCTCTCTTGCTCCATAGATAGACCTTTATACTGCAGATCTATCTTTATCTGAAAGGAAACTGAATATATCCCGTAAATAACCTTTGAATATACTGTATATAGACCCAATTCTTCATTCATCGTGAGTGAAGATGCTTTCCAATTCACAAAAAAATCTGAGGGCAAGCTTCCAGTAAATTTATTATCAGCTATCTCAAGTATCCTCAGCTCAGGAAACCCCAGAGGACCATTATTAGGAGGAGATATAGAACCGTAGAATTTGTTTGAACGGAGAGTAAGGATTTGCAATTTCGATAAAGCCTTAAGGGAGAAAGGAAATTGGTAATTCCTTTTCGTTATATT